ATTCAGTCATATGATAAAGCCAGAAAATTTTGCCTCTAAATTTTACAAGGAGAAAAACAGTGGTTGAGAGATGGCAGCTGCTCTATATGCAGTGGTGGGTGGCAGGAACATTGGAGAGAGATGGGTGGAGTTGAGGTGTATTTTGAAGGTAAACCTCGTCAGGGAAAGGAGGATAGACTTGATGGGTTGGATGTAGGGCTTCAGGGAAAGGAGGAATCAAAGATGAGTCTTGGGTTTCTGTCTTGAGTAACTGGGTGTGGGAGTGGGCGTGTTGGACAATTATTGAGGGTACTACCTAGGACATATTCAATTTGCATGCTCTGGGACAACATAAATTGGTATTCCAACAAGAGCCTTGGGCCAGATCAAACAGTCCCATCCACCAGGACAGTGTTCCATTCATGAGAACAGGTAATGCCATCTAGGGAGACAGCATAGAGGAGAGATGGGGCCTGACGAGCTGCAACTTTTGAAGTCACAGGAGGAGGAACTGGAGAAGAGGAAAGAGGGGGGAAAGCCACTGGGGTTGGGGAACACTAGGGGTGATGGTCACAGAGCCCCTAGATGTGAGTGTAAGAATGAGGCAGAGCAGCAGGCTGTGTCCAACACCGATTAAGATGAGGACAGCAGAATGTCCATGGGGATGTGGCAACAGAGATGTCACTGGAGATGCTCAAAAAAATATTTTGGTGGAGAAGTTAGAAGACAAGACTAGAATGTGCTGAGCAATCAATGGCATGCTAGTACTCAGGGGCATACAAATCACAGTCACAACAAGATATTCTTTATACAATGGATCAACAATGGTTTTTAATTTAAAAGTAAGTTTTGGTCAGGGAAGGAAGGATAAACGCATCATTGGGAGTCTAAGTTGGAAAAGCCACATCAAAAGGCAGATTGCCAGTATCTGTTGAAAATAAAGATGCACTTTCAATATTTTTTGAGAAACTTATGTAAGAGGCAATAGCTGGCACATAAGGGGAGTAAATAGGCATAGAAGACACAATCCCTGTTCTCTGTGTACCTAGAATTGTGGTTGAGGAGAAGAGAGCAAAGGGGCCAAGACAAGAAGAAAAACTTGAGCACAAAGTCTAGCAAAGGAAATGTCACGGGAGAAGGCAAAATGCTATGGACTTTAAAGGAGACCAGATAGTGCATTTGGTTGGGGAGATGAGGAGAGGTCTCTCAACACTTCATACATGTGGGATGTTAGAGACATGGGCAGTGAGATACACAGGGATGAATGTGTCTTAGACGTTTATATAGAGGACGGGTTGGGGGACGAAAGCTAATGCACTGGGAGTAACTAGTAGAGGAAAGAAGCTCACTGTAAATCTGCCTCAGCCTCAGTTTACACCAGAAAGCAGAGCCTGAGACAAGGCTTGCATGCAGGGTGATGAGAAGGGAACAGGAGTAGGGGCTGGGAAAATGGAAGCAGGAACGCTGGGCAGCCAACGCAAGGATGTGTTCTTGGGCACAGCAGGGACACGGG